TCTTCTCAGCTCCAAGTCCCCTTATACCTGAATACCAACATGTGCTTCCTCAGCCTGATGTGCACCAGGCATTTTGAGCAGGAGAATGCAGTTGTATTGAGCCACGTGGAGGTAAGTTGGAGAGATTTAGGCATTTGGGATGCACAAAGTTGCTATTACACAGCAGTCTGTGGACAGAAGCCTTCAAGCCTTCTTGATGTGGCTGTCTGTCTTTCCCAGCGCTCCCTGTCCTGTCTTAGAGACCCTGCCTCCTTTTCCCCTCCCTGCTGATTCAGTTCTGCAAGGGCTTGCAGGGCACCTTGCTGCTGAGCCAGGTGCTTTCCTGACACTGCATCCTTGGCATCCATTATGCTAGCTCTGTTTCTTGCAGACAGGACTGGGCTCAGCTATGCTAGAGCAGAGGCACCTGATCACTGCACTGGGGTGAGTCCTGGGGCACTGGGGCTGTGTGTGCCATGGGACCAGGAATGGTATGATGTGCTGGATCAGGACCTGCTTCACGCCTGGTAACTCTGCACCTATTGTATGACCTGAACACAAGAGACAAGCTGGTGTATCAGACTTGCTCTGCCACTGAACCAAAACATGAAAATATGGGTTTAACCCCAGTTTGCAGATTAGCTGGAGCTGTGTGAACAGGGTGCTCATTTTAGCCTGTATTTCTCCTTCCTGGTAGCTGCTTAGGTGGCTAGGCAGACTGCTGAATGCAGGTCAAACACTTCTTAAATTAGGATGCTACAGTTCAGTACTGTGTGTGCTCAGCAGAATGACTCCTGGGACAGCCTGTGTCTTGTCTTTATCTGGTTTGGTGCCCAGCCTACATGACTGGGGCCTTTTCCATGCATGTAGGTCACAGCATTTCAGTTGGAAAAGAAGAAGGGAAGGGTGACAAGTTCTTCAGTGGAAGTTGGAAGTAACGTACCCATAGCTGGGGACCAAAACAGCAGGATGGGTGGGTTTGACTATGCTGAAATGCTTGGGTACCACTTTGAGCTTGGTTCAGAGATGGAGTGTCCTCAGTTAGGAGGACACCCCTTAAGTATCAGAGAGACTTAGTGATCTAGTTTCTTGCATGTTTTCCTTGTAACTTTGTATATGGAAGACCTTTCTATTTTACTGTTGCACAGCACCTTCTACAGTAGCATTGTCAGTGTACCAGGCTCCAGCACAGTCCAAAAAAATTAATAACTGTTCTGTGTCTTGAAAGTCTTATTATGCAATTTAATAGCATAGTGATATAATGAAATCTTTATGGGAAAGTGATGAGAGCAAGTGGTTTTGTGTGTGAATTACAGGGTCTGCAAGCAGGCAAGACAGTAGCTACTTGTTTTGTTCCTGACAATATACTTATTTTCATGTTTATTCCTGGATTACAATGTGTGAATAGCATCCCAGTAAACAGTCAGACGATTAGTTATTTATCAAGTATTTAAAAGTGAAAGGTCTTGTAATTTTCCTTAGTAATGACTGTGATTTCTTCCAGCTGGATTAATGGCTCTCATTTCTCCCCATGATGAACAAGAAATGTTTTGGTTTCTACATGGAGAGTTATTGTGTCCCGTAATAATGCAGACCAGAGGATTTTTTTTTTTTACTTCTTGGCCTGGGATCTGGAAAAGGTTGAAATGTGCATAACCTGAATTAATACCTTGTAAAGCCCTTTAATATTCTTGTCACTCCTGTGGAGTGGTTCAGTAGTTGCTGCTGGCATCAGCCCAGCCTCAGAGCTGCTTTTGTTTCAGTTTATGAGGAAATCAGTGGGTCTTGTCGTGGAATTGCCGTGAAAGGTCACTTTTAATTACATTTCTGGTGCATTCCTCTGTCCCCAGCTGGCCAGTCCTGCTGGAACAGGTTGCCTGCAGCTTTGCAGCTGAGTTTCTGCAGTGGACAGCTTCAAAAATACATGCTAAAGCAGCTGCTGGCAGGCCAAAGGGAGCAAAAAAGGGAGTTCCATACTGTACCCAGCCATTGCTGCTGGTACCTTGAGGTGGTGGAGGACACAAGTATCAAAGCTGAAGTGCCTTGTCATTGAAGGGCTGTGTATCATGTTGAGGGGCCTCAGCAGGTAGATGTTTCTCTCTTCTCACCCTTTCTGGGACTGAACATCTTTCTGCTCCAAGAGCTGAGCCTGTCCAACCAGCAGCATGCTAATTCTGTCAGACTTCAGGCTAGCAAATCCCTGGAGCCATTTTTCATATGCATCTTAGCTTGATGTCTTCTTTTACCTCAACAGGCAGGACAGACATCAGTCAGTTTTGTCTCTGGGTTGGAGAAGGAGGCTGGAAGTACTCATGAAGTTAGGATTCAAGCTCTGCTACAACCTTTGAAGACTTGCTCCCCATTCATAGAATCCCAGACTGGTTTGGGTTGGAAGGGACCTTAAAGCTCATCCAGTTCCAATCCCCTGCCACAGGCAGGGACACCTTCCACTAGGGCAGGTTGCTCCAAGACCCATCCATCCTGGCCTTGAACACTCTAAGGATTGTGCCTGTCCAAACCCTGTTAAGCTATTTAATTTCCCTATTCTTGTATGAGCTGAGCTGCTTCCTTTCCAACCCCTTCTCTTGGTCCTACACTCTTTGGGTCCCAGAATCATGCAGGGTTTGGCTGGGATCTAACCTAGGAGCAGGTCCTGTGGCTGTATCAAGGCCAGTGTAAAGGGTTTTTTCCAGGCGTGTGGTTACTGTGCTGCGCCTCTTGAATTCCAGCATGCTCAGGGCCTGCCTGATGTTTCTCATGGCTGCTTGTGTGCTCTTTGTATGCCTCTGATGGCACAAGAGTTCAGGGGATGACGGGAAGAGGGGGGCCCATGCCAGAAACCAACACTGCAGAGTGCATGAGAAATGGTGCTGCTCCACAGCTGGGCAGGGCATGGCACCGGCTATTTGGCTGCTGTGTTTGACACTGAATAGACTGTGTGACTGTATTCATCTGTACCTGGCACTTGTGGCTGGGGGAGCATTGTGGGGCGTTCTGGCTGATTGCAACACAAAGACACCAACTTTATTCTGTTGAAGGAAACTGGATGTACAGTAACCTTTGGTGTGTGACTCCTGTTGCTGAGTACTCTCTGCAGTTCTTGTGTCCCAACATAAGAAAAACATGGAGCTGTTGGAGCAAGTCCAAAGGAGGCCATGAGGCTGATAAGGGGGCTTGAGCACCTCCCATATGAAGACAGGCTGAGGAAGTTGGGGCTGTTCAGCCTGGAGAAGAGAAGCTGTGTGGCGACCTCATAGCAGGCTTCCAGTATCTGAAGGGGGCCTATAAGGATGCTGGGGAGGGACTCTTCATCAGGGACTGCAGCGTTACGAAAATGGGGAATGGCTTTAAACTGAAACAGGGGAAGTTCAAGTTACATATCAGGAAGAATTTCTTCCCTGTGAGGGTGCTGAGGCCCTGGCACAGGCTGCCCAAGGAAGCTGTGGCTGGCCCATCCCCGGCAGTGTTCAAAGTCAGGTTGGACAGAGCCTTGGTCCAGGCCAGGCTGGACGGGGCTTGGAGCAACCTGCTCTAGTGGAAGGTGTCACTGCCCGTGCAGGGGGTTGGAACTGGGTGATCTTAAGGTCCTTTCCAACCCAAACCATTCTATGATGGTGCATTTGGGATGTCCTAAATTGTGACAATGCTGTAGCAAGGCTTTTGTTTCTTCCTACACTGTTTTTCCCCATTTCCCACCTCTTTCCAATCTGATCAGCGCCCACTTCTAAATATTCATAACATGGATTTGTCTCTCTCCCTGTGACTGCTGCTGGTTTGAAAGGCATGTGACAGTGCAGGGGGGAAATGGGATTAATCTGCACTGGCAGGATCAGGCAGAGAAGGAGGTGTACAGCACAAGAAATTATTCTTATTTCTGAACATGCCTTTTCCACCGAATTTGCAGTATGCAGAGAAGGAGGAACAGTTTCCCTTCCCTAACAGCTTCTTTGGGTGCTGTCAGGATGGGGACATGTGTGCACTAGTTGTATGCAAGTGGGATTTCAGGGCGTCAGTGCCTCCAGGCTTAACAAACGACTCCACAGTGCTTCCCTTCTTGAAGCTCAACCCAACAGTAACCCATCTGGGTCTGCAGCAACTTGGGTTTATCCATGTCCATCAGCCAGTTCCTGCATAGAAGCTGCAGTGTCGGGTTGGTGAGTAGGAGGCAAACTGTGATTAGCCTGACTTGTAACCAGGGCAGATCCTGTGACTAACAAGGATCAAGGAACAAGGGAGCAAAATTATTAGCTTGGCAAACCAGGGCAACCTCATTAAGAACTCCTGAGAGTGTGGAAAGTGTGTCACTGGAGGCAGGTGATTGTAAATGAGGGGCTAAAGTAGCTGGGATTTCTAATAATTACTGAGTGTGTTTTCTAGAGATTCACTCTCATGTTTGTAAATTATACCCTGCTGTGGATGCTGTATTTTTTAAAGTTCAGTAATTTGCACCCTCAGGGCCTCAAACAAAATTTAAGTAGAAAATCAGAGCAAATTTCTGTGTTCTGCCTTGTCAGAACTTTTCCTCTCATTCCCCATGGCCAAAGCCAGTTTCTGTGCTCTGGTTTGGGATGCACATGTTGCCAAGCCTGTGAGATGAGGGTAGCAGAACAGCTGTGGCATAAAAGCTGCCTCACTGACCCACAAATGAGGAAATCAAGAGTCCAATTAAGAGCCTGGAGTTACCCCCAGTGACCTGAGCAGAGCTTTTAGTAGCTGCTAGTGAGACAGGCCTGCTTGAATGAACAAACACTCCTGATTGTTTGAAGAAAAAAAAATCCATTCCTCCCCCAGCTCTCATTAGCTATTCTTCCTTTTTTCTGCCATGAATATTGGAGGGTTTGTCATTGGCATGAAATCTTGACAGGATGCCTGTTCTTCAGCCTGAAACTGGTGGAGGTGGTGTCTGTGTAGATGGTGAGGGGACTTCTGCACCTCTTTCTGTGTTTCCTTGGATCTTTGTTTTTGCTGTCGTGAGTACAGCTCTTCCTTATCCTCTGTTTTGTCTCCTTTTCCTCCAACAGAGTGACTAAAGAAGTGGACTCAACCTCAAAAGAAGCTAAAGCTTTTCTGAAGCAGCAAGAGAAATGGCAGTCTGCAGCTCCAGCTTCCCTCCCAACAGTCTCTGGGTGAGTATGTTGTTTCTCTGCCCAGATACAGACCCTTAGTGAGCAAGACAGCACTCAGCCTGCAGTAAAGGCTGTGTGGTATTTAAGCTAATGGGTAATTGTTTTCTGCAGGATTTCAGTGGGAGCAAGACTAGGCCTGGAAGGTGTGATGGGAGGGGAGGGAAGTGGGGGAAGCAACTGGTGAGTCCCCATGACTCACTTCGTAGGTTCAGCCTTGAATTTCTCAATCCTCATAAATCATTCTTCCTAGTAAGGAAATACTGTTTTGAATGTCTCAAGCAGCCTGATGAAACTGCAGGTAGCCAAGGAACATGCTTGGGCTTGCCTGCAGTTCCTTTGGCAGGTGCTTCTTGGGACCATAAAAAGCTATGACAGGCTGGACTGTGGCTTCTTATAAACTTTGGGGGAGCATTTGAATATGATATGCCTTTTTGATGTTCTCTAATATCATTTCAATGTGGATTTGTCTTTTTGTTCAAGCTCTAACACCTAATTCTGAGATTATCATAATGCTTGTCAAAGATACGAAGAGGTCAGGTCGCCTGAGCATCTGACATACCCCTCTGTGGTTCTTGATGAGCTTGGGAGATCACCTGCTTCTCAGGAATAGAGGAGATGCTTCTGTGTTCCAGCAGTGATTTTTAAGTCAGTCATTTACATTTATATTTAAAAGACATAAGCTGCATATGATTTCGTCACATAGAAACAACACCCATCAAATAAATACATTGTCTTTCCCATTTGCTGAAGAGCAGTTCTGCAGAGTGAGTTGAGGCTGCCTTACCCGGATACAGGCTGTTACTCAGTTGCTGTAGCCGGATTGTCACTCATTTTTCCAGCTAATTGCTGGATTGCTTGTAGTTAGATCAGGGCAGTGAAAGCATAGTAAGTGTGTGTGTGATTTGACAGCTGCTGTTCCCTGAGATGAATGAATGCATAGATGAGCGTATTCATCTTGCTGTTGTTCATGCTGCACAAGGGTTTGTCCCTGCAGAGCTCATTAATTGTAACTTAAGTGTTGTGTTACGGGGTTTTGTGCTGGAAAACTTGCCTTGACTTGGACTGGCGCTCTTTGTTCAGTCTGGGCAGGCACAAAAGTGGTTTGGGTGGCAGCTGAAGTTGGGGCACTTCCTTGCTCTGCACGCTGCTGGTGGTCCCATCCCTTCAAACCTGCCTTCCAATTCCCCCAGCAAATACCCTGCTGCTCTGAGTCCAGGCAGGCTTGGTAGCCCACTGGGAAAGCCCCATGGGCTGCTCACCTTCCTGCTCTTTGAGATCCAGGTTTCCTCTGTGTCTTGCTGGCCCAGAGGAGGAGGTGGGTGGCCAGTGGGCCTGCACCACTGCTACTGAACCACCATTACCAGGGTGCATGGCTGCTTGTGCTGGAGCTCTGGTTGCTCAGCAGAAATAGCCAGAGCTCAGTTTGAGTTAGTGCTACAGGTGAAGGATCCACATCAAATACGGAAAAAATGGAATAAAAATTAATGTAAGAAATAACGAGTTCAAGGACTCTAAACTTCAACTTCCCTCCAGTGTGATTATTTTGGTCACAGCTCAATTAGATTGTCATTCAGTTTGCTCATGTGTGATGTCCTACTGATTGTTGCTTGCCCAGAACATGAGCTGGCCTGGTCACAGGGAGGGGAGGGGGAAAATACCCTGGGCTTGTTTGTCTCATCTTCTTTCAGAGCAGCAAACCCTGATGCAGTGCAGCCCCATGTGCATTCCATCTCCTAACCTGCTGCAGAGTGTCCTGGGTTTGTGCAGTGATACTACAGCTGAGGTGTAGCAGTGGCATTTTGATCAATGTGTGGAACAGCCCAGTGCTCTTGAGGGTTCA